TCTGACGTTGCTCGGACAACTGTGAATCAATGTGCATTTTCCTAGGGAGCCGGGTCTGGGCTTACACCAAATTCCCCAAAGGGCAAGGGTATAGGAAGAAGTTACCAGCCGAATGAACGAACCGCTGAAGGAATGAAAGGCCTGGGAAGATACCGTTAGAGGATCCGCAAGGAAAAAAAAAAAAAAAAACACCGGAGCCACTCCCAGCTGCCTAACATTTCAGGACATAGTGAGACCATCCGTAGACAGAATTCAGTGAGGTTTAACCTCGCAGGGAGCCCGAAGATCTGGGTTCTTGTTCTCTATCCCAAAGCAAAAGTCCTTTCAGCTAGGTTGCTCAACTAAAAGGGGTGACTGCCGCACCCCCAATCCTGAATGCTCAGGACCCCAATACCGGTCCTCTGGCTGCCCGGCCTGGCCCGGGAGCGTCACTCTCAGCCGACTCCGGGTTATCAATTTCCTCCCGAGTAATCTATTTCTCTGCTTGCCAGAAAGAGGCCCCATCCCAGGAGCAGACCACTAGGCTCCCGGCAGAACTCGCGACCGCGTCCTCCGCTCTCCGTCACCTAGGATTGCAACTCACCTGGCCACCGCCGTCCACAGCTGGAAAAGCCGGGCTCTCGCTCCCACTTCCAAGTCCAGCTCAGCTCTCAACGGATTGGCCGGCGCCCCTGCGCGTCACGCCACGGCGCCGTCCGCTGGCCAATCAAAGAGCGGTTTCCGCACGACCGAGCGGAAGCGACACGGTTAGAGACGCCACGCCGTCATCTTGGACCCGGGCAAGACGATCACGCCTCCACTTCAAAGATAGTTTCTCACAACACGTTTCTCCACATCCACCCCGAAACGTTTCTGCCTCAGAGAACCCCGGCGCCTCCCAGACCCGCACCCTCGTCGCTACTAGCCAGCACGCCCCGGGGGTTCGCCCTCACACAAGATGACATCCGCTCGCTTCCGTGGGAAATCCCTCTCATCGCCTTAGTTACCAGGAAGCGAGAACGATGACGTGTACTTCCGGAAGGCGGGGCGCCGGCCGGAAGGAACGGAAGTGGCCGGAAGTGGCGTCAGCACGCCGAAAGGGGGCTCATGTGTGTTTGCTGGTGGTGGGGGGGTGTGCGAGTGCTCTCCCTGTGGTCTCTGCTAGCTGATGTTTGTCTATCCGCCAAGGTTTCCTCCTCAGCCTCGCTCTAACTGCCCCTCTCGGAACATCCATCCCCTCCTCAAGGAGGTGAACGATTGCACTCAGGCCCTGAAGGAAACCAGCAAGGCTCACTCTCCACAGAACCCAACTGTCCCAGCCGCCATGTCTTTTCACACTTTGTTGACAGCTAACAGAATGAGCGCTTTGTAGTTCTGACTCAGGCGTGGCATAGTAAAACAAGCAAAAACTGGATGAGCTTAAAATAAGGCCGGGACACATCCAGGCACTCAAGAAGCAGCCACTAATTAGCTCAACTAAGTACAAAGTTTTAAATTCCCTATAGATAATGGAAATTAGTCAATGCACTATGAAATGTAATTCATGTAAGTTATCAGATGATTGTTGAAAACTTTGGTTTTTAATCTTAAACTCGATGTTAATGTTAGCTTATTTTAATCAGTAAAGTTGTATAAATTTAAGAAATTTAATGGAAAAGGCCAATTAAAATAAAGTATACTTGTATTTTACACTTAACAGAGAAAGGACTTAACTGGGATTTTTCTTTTTACACCAAAAATTAGCATAATATTATTTACCAAAGATTTGTCTTAATTATTTGAACCTAAATTCTTTCCATACTAGCAATTTATGTGGGAAAGACTTTTAAATTTATTAATGAAGTTTAATTATGATTTAGAAGAAGGCTAAGCAATTTTCTCTAAAAAATATATTGACTCTGTATACTTAATTTACTGCGGGGAGGGACTGGTAAATCTACCCTATTTTGTATTCTGAAAATGAGAAAAATCCATTGCTAGTTTGAGTATAAAGGTACATGTGCCAAAATGGCTAAGGAGAAATACAGTGAAAACGATGAAAGCTGTAAAGGTAAGGCATATGCAATAGGCTATAGGGAAAAATGCCAGAAATTTCTGAAGTGGCAACAAGAAATGTTGGCTGGCATTTGAAGTTCAGTTCAACGTAGTTGAAATTCACTTTTTTTGTCAATTAGTGCTTCTTTGTGCACCTGTCCACCTCCTCATCTATAAACCCATCTCCAGTTGTTAGCAGCTTCCTCAGGTAATCTTCCTAAATGGTGCCAGTTACTTCTTCACCAAAGCAAGCAAAAGCATTACAGATTTATTTTTAAAGATTTATTTATTTACTTGAAAGAGTTACATAGAGAAGGAGAGAGAGAGAGAGAGAGCTTCCATCCACTGGTTCATGCCCCAGATGGCTGCAACGGATGGAGCCAGAAGCTTCTTCCAGGTCTCCCAAGCAAGTGCAGGAGCCCAAGCACTTGGACCATCTTCCACTGCTTTCCCAGGCAGGTTAGCAAGGAACTGGATTTGAAGTGGAGCAGGCAGGACTCAAACTGGCACCCATATGGGATGCCAGCACTGCAGGCAGCAGTGTCACCTATGCCATATCACTGGCCTCACAAATTTTATTTATTTGAGAAGCAGACTTGGGGGTGGGAATTTACATACTCAGTTCGCTCCCCAAATGCCCAGAGCAGTTGGGAGTAGGTCAGGGCTGAGGCTGTGAGCACAGATCCCAATCCAGGTCTCCATCATGGAAGGCAGGAACTCAGCTACTTCAGCCATCACAGCTACCCCCCAAGGTATGCATTAGGAAGCTGGAGCCAGGAGCCAGAGTCAGAAATCAGACCTAAGTGCTCTGATGCAGGACACAGGAGTCCTACCTACCAGACTGAACACCTGTTCCCAGTAAGACCATTTCTTCCTTCCTTCCTTCCTTCCTTCCTTCCTTCCTTCCTTCCTTCCTTCCTTCCTTCCTTCCTTTCTTTCTTTCTTAACAGTTGTTTATTTGAAAGGCATAGCCAAAGGAGAGAAATTTCACTCCCCAAATGGCCACAGTGGCCAGGTCTGGGCCAGACTGAAGATAGGAGCCTGGAACTCCATCTAGGTCTCTCACATGGGTGGCAGAGGCCAAGTACTTGGGCCATTTTCCACTGCCTTCTCAGGCACATCAGCAGGGAGCTAGAACAGAGGAAAAGCAGCTGAGACTGAAACTGGCATTCACCCGGCATGATGGCATCGCAGGCTGTGGCTTAACCCACTGCACCACAATGCCCAGCCCTAATAAAATCGTTTGTGATGACATCTTCTGGATCTTTGCCGTTCTAACTTCTCACTAAATGTTGTGAGAAATGTGGTGAAATTGATAGGGTCTGGAGCCTCATTCATCATGACATCCCAAGACTCATCAGTTGTGTTTTTCTGCAATGAGGCAAGCATATGCAAATCTTTCTTGTTGATGAAACATCTCTGTAATGGTAAATCATGGCAAAGACCTCTGAACTCCCGAATCTGTGACTGGTCAAACACGGCAGACATTGGATACTGTATATGGAGGGGACTTCTAGGTGTCCATATTCTTTGCCCTTTTGCTTGACACAATATGGTTAAATACTGGCACTGTGTGAGAATCTAAGCACCACAGTGAACCCTTGCTACGCTGTCAACACCCTTCTGCTGGCAGAGCTGCTAAAAACCACCTTCCAGAGGATTTTTTTTTATTAAAAATCTAGCCGATTAGTTATCTTGTTTTCTGGGAATTTTAGGAATATGTGATTTATGTATGTGTATGTTTATTTCCATAAATTCACTAACAGAGCACCTTAATTGAAGACAAATAATAATATAACTTAAGCTGGTAAAACATCTTACACCCTTAGAAGAAGAGGTGAAGAGACTTAGCCATCAGCTTTGATTCTACAACTTCAGGCACGGGTCAGATGTCAACACCTAATGGTTAAGAAGCTATTTGGGGCCGGCGCCACGGCTCACTAGGCTAATCCTCCGCCTGCAGCACCGGCACACCGGGTTCTAGTCCCAGTCGGGGCGCCAGATTCTGTCCTGGTTGCCCCTCTTCCAGGCCAGCTCTCTGCTGTGGCCCAGGAGTGCAGTGGAGGATGGCCCAAGTGCGTGGGTGCTGCACCCCACGGGAGACCAGGATAAGTACCTGGCTCCTGCCTTCGGATCAACGCGGTGTGCCGGCCGCAGCGCGCCGGCCGCGGCGGCCATTGGAGGGTGAACCAAGGGCAAAGGAAAACCTTTCTCTCTGTCTCTCTCTCTCACTGTCCACTCTGCCTGTCAAAAAAATAAAAATAAAAATAAAAATAATTTAAAAAAAAGAAGCAGCAGCAGCTATTTGGGATGCCTGCATTCTGTATCAGAGTCCCTGGCTTTCAGTCCCAGCCCCACTGCCAATTCCAATTCCAGCTTCTTTTAATATGCACCCTGGGAAGCACAAGTATTTTGGGTCTCTGCCACCAAAATAGGGGACCCATACTGAGTTTCTGGCTCCTGGCTTCAACTTGGCCCAGCCCTGACCACTTATGGTTATTTGGGGAATGAACCAATGCCTGGAAGATATCTCTGTCTTTCTGTCTCTCTCTCGCTGTCTCTGTCACTTCAGCAAGTTCTTGGGAGCAACTTTCAATATTAATGAGTGATGTACCAGGTAAATTTGTGAATTTTCAGATTTTTAAAAAAGATTTTATTTATCTTATTTGAAAGAGTTACTCAGAGAGAAAAGGAGAGGCAGAGAGAGAGAGGTCTTCCATCTGCTGGTTCACTCCCCAGTTGGCCGCAACAGCTGGAGCTGTGCCGATCTGAAGCCAGGAGCCAGGAGCTTCTTCCAAGTCTTCCATGCGGGTGCAGGGACCCAAGGACTTGGGCTATCTTCTGCTGCTTTCCCAGCCATAGCAGAGAGCTGGACTGGAAGTGGAGCAGCCGGGACTCAAACTGGTGCCCATATGAGATTCAAACACGGCAGGCAGCAGCCTCATATGCTACGCCACAGCGCTGGCCCCATGATTTTCAGATCTTAAAAAGTTCGTCCCTTCGGCATCCGGAGTCCTAGGCTCTGCGCGCGGGTCGGGAGGCGGCCGGAGCGGCGGGAGCGTCCGGCAGAGTCGGGGCGTGGTGCTCTGAGCGGCGGCGGGGCCCGAGCTGGGACTCACTCCGACTCTTGCCCCCGCAGCCATGGCCCTGCGCTACCCCATGGCCGTGGGCCTCAACAAAGGCCACAAGGTGACCAACAACGTGAGCAAGCCGAGGCACAGCCGCTGGCGCGGGCGCCTCACCAAGCACACCAAGTTCGTGCGGGACATGATCCAGGAGGTGTGCGGCTTCGCAACCTACGAGCGCCGCGCCATGGAGCTGCTCAAGGTGTCCAAGGACAAACGGGCACTCAAGTTCATCAAGAAGAGGGTGGGCACGCACATCCGCGCCAAGAGGAAGCGCGAGGAGCTGAGCAGCATGCTGGCCGCCATGCGCAAGGCGGCCGCCAAGAAGGACTGAGCCCCGCCCGCCCCCCAATAAACGAGTCCGCGAAAAAAAAAAAAAGTTCGTCAAAATGTTGACTTTCAGTTTTGAAATCAAAGCCATTTCTTCCGTGATAATAACAAGATCAGAAAATGCTCGTACACATTACAAGGCCGGCGCCACAGCTCACTAGGCTAATCCTCCGCCTGCAGTGCCACACAGAGAAAAGTCTTCCTTTTGCCGTTGGTTCACCCCCCAAGTGGCCGCTACGGCTGAAAGGAGCGGCCGAGAGCCGCCATAAAATGGCCTTAATAAAACAGTCCTGGGAAATGGGGAGTAAACTAAGTTCACAGAGAAAGCAGATAGCTACTAGCCAGAGATAAGGGCTACTACCCAGAGATAAGGGCTACTACCCAGAGATAAGGGCGACAGAACATCCTGGTACGCACCTAAGCCCCCTCCCCTGTGCTTGTTCAAGCTTAACAAAGAAACCGGGAGACACGTAGGGCACGTAGCCACCCCTTTCTGCTCTTCAAGGACCCCCTCCCCTTGTCCAAGCTTAGACATGTAGGGCACGTAGCCCCCGTTTCTGTTCTCTCCTCCTCCTCGACGACCTCCTCCCCTTGTAGTTACCCAATAAACTTACGCCACCCTATGGTATGTTAATTTTGTGGTTTTGCCCCTAAAAG